TTTTTCTATCTACCTCAACTACAACTCCCTAAAGTGCATGTAGCAATAAAGAAACGTTTGCATCATCACTCCTCAATGAGAGGGGAAAGAGATACATATGTTGAACTGTCTCATGCCTCAATTTGCTGATATTTGCTCCACAGTTTGAAGTGGACAACAATAGCCAAGTCAACATATAGCAGCAACAAATATGTTCAATTTTTTTTTATCTCTATAACAAGAAATTAATAAGTAGTAATTTTTTTATTAAAAATAAAGAATCCAATGAATTCTGTATTGTTTTATAAATTTTATTAAAAACTTACTATACATGAGTTTTTATTTTGTGTCATTGAACATATACGCATCACAAAATTCTTCAACTTTTTTAGTTAAGATTTTATTGAATAATATATTTGATTTTATTGAAAATGATTAAACAAATAACTTGATGTGATTATTATTATTATTATATTTGAAAAATTTTACGCGTGATTCATAAAAAATAAATTATCACTTTAACTTTTGACATTCTATCTATTACTTAACTTTGCCAATTTTTTTGTCAATGTGCTTTGATGAGACTTGTATATTAGGAAGTTAAGAGTTTATAGGTGTGCCTATATATTTATGTACGTGCACTTTGCACTTTTATATCATCACTTATTTTTTAGAAAAGCATAACAAATCACAACTTCATATTTATTAACATACTTCTAAAAATATATTTTTCAAAATATACCTAAAAAACTAAGTGGAGGTGCTATAATATATATACGTAGACACACACGAAATGTATTAGGTAAAAGGAACTAATCTTAATCAGAGAATGAAGACAGATGGATAAGTGATAGATAAACATATTGGGTAAGTGATAAGAGGGAAGTCATCTATGTTAGTTTTGCTTAAGTTGGAACGAAGAAACTTGGCATTTCTTTAATGACATAAGAGGTTCACAAAATAGAGAGGGTACAAGAGGAATATATCAGGTTTTTAATAAAGGAAATTTTGTAGGACATGAGATAGATTCGAGAGTCTTTAGCTGAAATCAAGTTAAATGTCAATGGGCGTAATCATTGGATAGAGTTGAGTGTATAATTTTGATTATGATATCTTGAAAAAGTAAATTAATAAAATTTTAACATAAATATACAAAATGACTCTAAAATATTTAAAATCCTTGTATTTATTTATGATTTATCATCTCTTGATGAAATGGGCAATCTAGTTTTGATTTGCATCTTAATCAATGCCTTGTGAGGGGGGTTTGGAAGATTTTTGAGTAAAGGGAGTGGGGACCAAATGTTGAAGATGCAAAGAATGGACAAGGCAGCGTACAGGGCGTGAGAGGAAGGGTTGAAGCCCGTGAACCATGACCTACTTGTTAGTCACATGAAGAACTCGCCACCCTACATTTAATTTTATTGTGATGTTCTAATTGGCATTGAGCTCTTAGGAATTAATAGTTTATTTTAAACCTATGTTTACATTAGGTCCACCAAAAATATACATTAAGTTCCAAATTCATTCGTATAGCATGAACTTCACTCTAAATAGTTAGATAAATGCAAGTTTTTACAAATATTTAATGTAATTATATACAAAACAAATATAGTTTTTTTTTTTTAAGAAACAAAGATAAATATTGAATTTAAACAAAGTATAGGTTAGGTTTAGATGGATGCATTTTCAACTTTATCATTTTGTCAAATGACTTTGTTTTGTATTTAACATGTGAAATTATTTAAACTGAATTTGAATTTACAGTTGTTTATTCTTGAACTGTATACTTTAATTATCCAATTTTTTTAAATTTCAATTACTAGTACTTGGTTCATTTATTTTATTTTAACTGTTCAAATTAAAATTTGTATTCTAATTTTTTTCTAATAATTCATAAAGATATAATAATTATGTGACATATTAGTTTTAATATATTACAAAAATTATTTAAAAATAAATTACTAAATGAAATACTGAAAATATTTATTTTTAATTTATTAATTTTTTATTGAATCTAAAGATAATAGCAGAATAAACTTTTACTTAATGATTAAAAAACATTTTAATTTAATAACATACCTATACATATATTAGATCTCTTATTCTTACCCATCTTTTTAAATAAATATGTCTATGGGAAAGAAACCACGAAACAAAACTCTCACATTGATTACACATATCTTTGCAGAAGGAACAACTTTTCCATCTATGATGCACACAGCGATATGAATTTTAATAATTGAGATTGTGATAGAACACTTACACGACAATTTATGAAATTGTTACAAATTTATCCATCAATTTTATAATCACTAGTAATAATTATGCATTTGTAAAGAGTAACTTTAACACATGCATGTGTGTGTAGTTTGCTAATATATATTTATTTATTCACAATAATATATTAATAAATTTATAATTTTAGGTTTGTTTAAATATTTTAAAAATATGATTTGTGAAATATTATTTTTAAAAACAGAAACACATTAACGTATATATTAATGTATTTAATTAGAATACATTAGTAATGTAAGAAATTTTACATTATTATTTAATTAATATCGTCAAATCCATAATTTTTTTTTTATAATCATTAATTTTAAAATTATATCTATTGTATATTTTAAGTAATGTTTTTTAGATTCACTGAGACTCTTAAGTTGAAATAACCTCTTCTTATTAATTAATTTATGTGCTCACCAGTGTGTATTTTAACTAATTAATAATATAAAAAATACTCAAATATAGCTATAATGACAATAACACTTACGTACATTCCTTTAGAAGTTGTTGAGCTATTGTAATAAATATAATATTTGTATTAGTTGTGAAATTTCTATTAAATATTAATTTTATAATATTTAAAAATTCATTAAAGACAATCATAAATTAATCAAATCTTTGGTGAATATTATATAGTATAGCACATATATTTTTATAGTATCCTATATTTTTATAGTATACCACATATATATCTTGATCGAAATATTTTTATCATTATATTTATTACGTAACAAATAAAGCAAATATTAATCATATAGAATTTATGAATAATTATGATTAATATTTACGTATTTTAATTAATCTATTTTAATTATTTACGTAAAATTAATTGTTTAAACTTTCTTTTCTCACACTCAAGGACGCTCAGTCCTCAAGCAAGTAAAGTTCCCGTTTTAAGTGCTAAAAAGGATTAACTTATTAGTTTTCATAAATAAAAATAATAATTACTTAAAAATAAACATTATATTATTAAGTATTTTTATTTAAAAAGATTGTTCATCCTATTATGAACTTCTCTTATGAAACAAAAATATTAAAAAAACATTTTTATATTCAAAATAGCTGTTCAACTAAAAAAATGTTAGGATTTATCCAATAGCTTTAAAATAATTTTCTTATTTTAATTTTAAGTTTTAAATATATTTTAAAATTAAAAATATAAGTCAAACATTCATTGTGACTTTCTCTCGCTCCATAAATTTTAATTTATTTTTTATACTCGTTAAAAAATTATCCTCTTAAAATTAGACATTGAATGAGCCCTACTTATCTACTTTTAATAAATAATTATAAATTTTTTACTCTTTATCCTTCCAAAGATTTTAATTACTGAATGAAAAAATATTTAATATATTTTATATTCTCAACATAATAATAAATGAGCATTTTTATTTAATATTTACTTCATAAAATAGTAAGATGACTATTACGAAGATATAACAAAAACTTTTTTTAATAAATCTCTTACTGGTGTTATATATATATATATATATATATATATTGTGAAATTATATAAATAAATTTTAATAATTACATTTTATCATAAATAATTAAAATTAAAAATATAAATTATGTAAAAGAATATCGTAAAAAGTAATTACATCACTTATCAAATTTTGTAAATTTTAACCATCATAAATGTTTGTACATGCATGTTTGATAGAATTGTTTAGAATAAATTTCTCATGTTAATCTTTTACATGAATCTTTTATATAAAAATTATAATCACCCTTTATATGTATTAAATAAATGTGATTTGATTAATGTTTATGAGCATTTATAAACACAATTTTTTTACATTATAAAATATTGTAAAAATGTAATGTAAACGCATATTTTTCATGATAAAATATTATTCAATACAATATTTTTAATATATTTTTATCATTTATTAATTTTTTAAAATTATAAATTATACAATCTCACTCTAATTTAACTACATTTACTAGTAGTTTTATAATTTTTAATAAATAATAAAAATATATTAGAAATGTGTTAAAAAATTTATTATTAATATATTTTTTTTGCTATTATTGTTAATATCTTTTTTTGTTGCTAAATTTGTTAATATCTTTTATATGTATTAAATAAGTGTAACTTCATTAATATTTATGGATCTTTATATCACAAATTTTTACATTATGAAAATTTGTGAAAATATAATATAAAAGAATTAATTTTATAATATCTTTTTTATTATTAATAAAAAATATAAAAATTATCAAATTATGCATGTCTTACTCTAATTTAACTACTATTATTCATAATTTTATAATTTTAATACATTGTAATAAATAATAAAAATTATACTAAAAATTATGTTAAAAAATAAGTTACTAGCACTCTTAATCAATAAATATCTAGACCCATTTTATATAAATTTATAAATAATTTTTTATAAAAAATTAATATAAAAATAAATAAAATATTTTTTATAAATTAAAAATAACTTACACTCTTAAATTTAAATAAATAAATACATAAATAAAATATATAAATTAATTTTAAATTGTAAAAAATTAATAAGTTTTATTACTTAATTTTAATCCTATAACAATTTATTAATAAATTTATCCACTCTAATGGAATAATTAATGACTGAGTTCGATTAAATTTATTAACATTGAATAAAACATTTTTTAGGTACAACTTAAATCCCCTTTTATATTTTCATATTTAGATTCTATTTCTCACCCACCTGCGTGATTACGGTTACTTACAATCTCTGTCTCTCTCACACACACACGCTCTCAGATACTGCATCCTCCCTCTCTCTCTCTCTCTCTCTCTCTCTATTCTGTATCTCAATTCACATTTCACAACCTTAGGACTCCGCTAAATGACCAAACAACACTTTCCCATGAATCTAAAAGATGCCACATACACACACAACACGTAAAGTTCCAGACACCAGCATTCGACTCAGTGGCAGGTTTGTTGTTTCACATCAAAACTCGTTTTCTTCTCTCAAATTTAGTACACATAGATATATATTCCTTCGTTGCATGAGGTTTTGGTAACAAATCGATTTTTAAGGTTCTGACATATCTGAATTGGTAATGCATATGATGTTGGTGGTGACTGTAAGAAGCAGATCCTTTCCTCACAGATGGGGAAGAAAGGAGGTAGCTGGTTTTCCTCTGTGAAGAAAGTTTTCAAGTCATCTTCTAAGGACTCGCCGGTAACGGAGAAGAAGGTGATTCATTCATTCCCTTGTTTTTTTTTTTTTTTTTGTTGTCTTCTTTCGTGTAGTTTTTTATTTATTTTACGACCAATGAATTTCTTTTTTTTATTCATATAAATTAATTTACTGATTTAGGATTTTGCACTTTGATTGAAGTTCCGTAAGCATAATGAAATGCTCATTATTCGTGAATTTTCTTCCCTTGTCTTTTCCTTTTTGTCCTTCAGTCGTTTGCTTACCGAGTATATACGCATTCTCACTGTTAAAAGATATTTGGAACATAAATTTTCATTATCTATTCCCTTAAATGATAACAATTTATCATCGAAATGGTTGAAGCACTATACTGACTGCTGCGATCAAATTGATATTTTCCTATAATAGCAATAATCATTTGAAGATTAAGTCCTTAATCTTTAAATCGTATCATGAAATTGATGTTTTAAGCATGTTTCCAAGACTAAATTGGAGGTTTTCTTGCTGGCATTGTTTTAAAAATTTATTGTCTTTTTCATTTTTCTAATCGTAGAACTAAAAATTGTTATTTTAATAGGCAATACGAAACTGGTTGTATACGTTAATCTATTTGTACATATATTTTGACGACTCTAATTGTGAATTACGTCATTAATCACCGATTCATGTAGAAGTTCTTGAATTAGTCATGAACCTTTTCTCAATCCCCAACAAACATAAAGAAAGCAGAAATTGCTTAACCGCAGCATAATTAATGTTATCATTGCGTTCTACCTTACACATTGAAGGCTAAGAGCTCCTTCATAAGTACGGTAAGTGAAGTTCTTAGTTGTTTTTGTTGTTGTCTTTTATGCCACCACATAAAAGGATGAGCTACCTGGCTCTTAGGACCATCAATCCAATACAGTATGTAATTATGTGAGTATATGGTCCCCTATCATGTGAACATGTATCAAATAATTTTACTAGTATTTGTGTCACATAGTTATCGTACCACCTAACCCATCACATCATTCATCTCCATCATCATGTGCTTCCCATGTCAGATCTCCATCATGTTAAACAAAACACATTCCATTTGATGTTTCATTATTCCTTGATTTTCCAAATGATTGGTAATTAGGAGTTGATCGATGTTGGGGTTTTGCACTTTCAGAAAGAGAACAACGAAGAGCAATGGCAACATGAAGCGCCTGAGGTTGTGTCTGTTGAGCATTTTCCTGCTGAGAGTTCTCCAGATGTGACCAATGAGGAGAGTGACACGTCAACACCAGTGACTGAAGGTAGAAACCATGCCATTGCCTTTGCAGCAGCAACTGCTGCAGCTGCTGAAGCTGCGGTTGCTGCTGCTCAAGCAGCTGCTAGAGTTGTGAGATTGGCTGGTTATGGACGACACTCCAAGGAAGAAAGAGCAGCAACACTCATTCAATCATACTACAGAGGCTACCTTGTAAGATCCCCTTTGGATTTCTCTTACAACTTTGAGTAACTATTCTTGTTTTCTTTTGGTGAAGTTGTTATTCGTTGTTTAATGTGTCATTGTAGTATCACAATTCATTGGTTCGGTATGGGCCATAAATATGCCACCCACTCCAAAAGTTTTTTAGTTATATGTATTAATAATATATGAATGACACTTGCAGACTGTTGTACTATATGACTCCCTTCTTCTTCTTCTTCTTCTTCGTACATTAAAGTTCACATGGATTCGTTATTTACATAAACTAAACTTAAAAAGGGAAAATATATGGAACATAAAATTTTCCTTATTTGTTTGGGATAATAAAAGGTTATCTGAAAGTACTATATTTATGAATTGCTTAGAGTTGATGATACCTTGATCATTGTACCTAAAACCAAATAACTTTATCATTTGGTCGGTTGCTAGCGCATATCCGTCCATTAAAAGTATACTTAAAACTCAAGCCATCTCTTTTTCAACTGATTTTAGTATCTTTGCTTTCTAGCCTGTCATGGGTTTACTGTGAGAATTTTTTACCACAACTTTGAATGCGGTAAGTGATTGCGACCCAAGTAAGGTCAATCTGATTGGTGTTGAATCTTTAGGCTCGGCGTGCACTGCGTGCTTTGAAGGGTCTAGTGAGGCTACAAGCACTTGTGAGGGGACACAACGTGCGCAAGCAAGCACAGATGACAATGCGATGCATGCAAGCATTAGTGCGAGTACAGGGAAGAGTAAGAGCTCGCAGACTCCAGTTAACACACGAGAAACATCAGAGGAAAGTGGAGCAAGAGCAAAGAGAATTTGAGGAACAAGATCCTAAGTTTATGAGCCCCATTGCAATGTTAGACACAGATGGTTGGGACAATAGGCGACAAAGTAGCCAACAAATTAAGGAAAATAGTTTAAGGAAACATGAAGCTGCAATGATGAGGGAAAGAGCACTTGCATATGCCTTTAATTGCCAGGTTATTGTTTATTCAATATATATTTTTCTTCTTTGAAATTCCTGCAGAGAGAACCCTTCCTGCATGCATCCATTTTTCATTGTTGATGATTTTGCATGCAGCAACAGCAGAGGCAATACATGCAGATAGAGCCAAATGGTGATGATATTGGAAGCTATGCCATTGAGCGTGAAAGGGCCCAATGGGATTGGAACTGGTTGGAACGTTGGATGTCATCACAATCACAGCATGTTAAGCACTTGGGTCCACGTGAGACCCTTTATAGGACTCTTGCCGCTACTACAACCACTGCTACTACTGCCACTGATGACATGTCTGAGGAAAAAACAGTGGAAATGGACATGGCAACAACACTGGACTCAACTCATGTTAACATGGGCCTTGGCAATCATGACTCTCTAGAATCAAGCCCCATATCATATAGGCTCCACCAACGACACCACAGTGCAGGTGTGCCTAGCTATATGGCCCCAACCCAGTCTGCAAAGGCTAAGGCTCGGAGTCAGGCTCAGTTTAAGCAACGGGCTTCATCTGGGCCTAACTGGAACTCATCCACGAGGAGAAGTTATGCTCTTGGGTTGGGCTGTGACTCACCAAGCTCTGGTGTGGCCACTGCAGTTCATATGTTTCCAAGGAGCCCAGGCCCGAAAATTAATGGGATTCGCCTTCAATCTAGACGGATTTCAGGTGGCAGCCCAGATAATGTTGGCGTGGAGGATTGGGCCCTTCCCCTCGGAGCCCACGGTTGGGCTTGATTTGATTATTTTTCTAAACATCATTATAATTATAGTAGGATGTTTTGTGTGCTCTGAACTTTGGTCGTTGACATGCAATGGTGCTTATTATTCATGGACAGTTTAATAATGTCATTGATGTCGTGTCATGAACATAAATATTGAGATTTTATAACCCGACCCCCCAAGCATACCCAAAACGCAATATTGTAGTGTCTAGGACCTCATTTTATGCTGTTTCACATGTAAGAAAAATGTTTGAAATTTTGTTTTTCTGTTCAAAATAAATAAATGTTTGTTTGAGTATTTTTCTTTCCACTAAAATTGTATAATTTTGAATTACTGTGTTGATTACTACCACTATATTAATGCTTCATACGGCCATGAGATTGTTGGTAATGATATTTAAGTTAATTTTTTTTCTTAATTCTATTTTTAACACTTTTTATTTATGTGACATTTTTAGCATGTTTTAGTTATACGATATCCATGATTATCAATAGTGAATTCATTGATACCATAAATAGTATTGATGTCATTTATTTTTGAAAATTCGATTTTTGATACCCTCCTATAATTATATAAAAGATGTGCGACTTTGTAAGTTTTCATGGGAGATTAAGCATGCATTTTTTAAACTTTAGAAGATTTGTGTTGAAGGTAGATAATGACACTTCTTTATAGTTTTAATGACTGAGAAAATTGTTTTTTTTTTCTTTTTTTAATGAGGTGAGATATTTTGTAGTCATGACACAATGAATAGGGACCAAATTACTTTACAAGTATTGTCAAAATTATTTCATTTAAAAGTTGTTTATAAGTATTAAATTTTATTAATTTAATTATAAATTTGAATATTTTTCTCAAGTGGGTTAAGTATGTAAAAATTATATAAATTAAAAATTAATAGATAATTTATTGAATAAATTTCTTTTAATGCTTGATATATATTTTTAAAATATGAGTAAATATCAGTCATAAGCTTTATACGTATGGAGGTTTGATTCTTTTAAAACTTATATTTGATCAACATATTAATATTACACTATTCAATGATTTAATTAATATAGTTTAATGTTTATAAAAAATATTTGGTGAAATAACTCCAAAATAACTATGACAAGAAGTATTATTGAAGAAACTTGATTTGTGCTCGTGAGTGAGTCTTTTCTTGACTTTTGTTTGAGATTGTGAGGGTGAAGCTTTACTTTTACTTATTGATTTTGTGATGAATTTCAAATATGACCATGTTACGGTAACAGTTGGTCATTGCTATATTTAAATTTAGGTATATATGGATTTTAACTATTTTTTTTTTATTGTGGAATTTGTTTAAACTATATCGAAGACTATGGCATTTTAATCAAATAAATAGAGAAATTAAAGGATGAAACATCAAAATTGTATTGTCCTTCTCTTTGATTCTATCAATTGTTAACACATTTTAATCACATGAAGCTTTTAACACATTCTCACAATGTGAATTCTCACACTGAGTAGTAAATCTATTGATAAATATGATTCATATAAATGTTAAGTAATTCGCAACGGATAAATGTCAAGAAGAAGAATGTACGGCCATCTATTGTAAACCAATCAATCTCATGTCCCTTTCTCTATTTTTCTTCAGTTAAATTTGTTTATTTTTATTTTATTTTATTTATAGATATTATTTGTAAGGCTGAACTATTCCTGATCTTGAATGTATGAGTCCAAGAACGAAATACTGTTAAACTTAAATAAAAACAGGCATCAAATTACATTAAAAGCTTAATGAAAAATTGCTTTCAATATATTGATGTTATTTTGACACTATTTCTTTCATTTTGTCTTTTTTGTTAGAGATTAGGGATATTTGGAGATGACATCTGAAACAGAGAAAACAAAATAGTAAGAAAAGTAACAAAAGGGTGAGAAGAAAAGCAGAAAAAAAATGTTGTTTAGAAGGGTTTTTTTTTTCTTTCAATTTTCATATGAATAAAAAAGGTAAACAAATATATTTATCATCATTTTTTTTTCTAGTAAGCAAATGTTTTCATATTTTAAAATTATATTTATTTTATTTAATAATTTAACAATAAAACCGTCCCTCCTTTTTTCTCCCTATTCAAACAACCAAACCTTCTTCCTTTCCTTTTACTTCCCTATCTCATTTGTTCTTTCTCCTCAGCTAAACAAAGCATAAACACTAGTATGAATGAGAATCAAATAACCATGCCTTAAAAAGACAGATAAATATTTAAAGAGAAAAAAAAGCTTTGAGTTTTGTTTCTTTCCTTCTTTCATTAAGAATTAAAAATGCGTTAAAGAAGAGAGAAAATTCTAAAGTAGCATGAAAACTGAAGAAATAGTGTGCTAAAGAAGAAGAAGAAAAAGGAGAAAGGTAAATGGGTTTTGGGTTTTGGCGCTTTTTCTGGATCTGAGGGAAGTACGCTTTTCTCTTTCCAAATCCAACTTATAACTTCCCCCTTCCACGTCATGTGACCACTGCACTGTGCCCTGCTTCTTTTTGTTTCTTCTCTTTCCTTCCTCGTTCACCAATCGCGATCCCTTCCCTCCTACATTGGATTTCCCTCTCCCTCTCTCTCTCTCTCTCTCTCTCTCCCCTCCAAAAGGCATGGAGTCTCTGCAACTTGTTCCTCTTCTTCTGCGTCCTCTTACGTCATCATCACCACCGCCAACTCAGCATCGCTACCATTCACCGTTAATAAGGCAACTCTGTTTCCCTTCTTTCCTCAAAAGAACAACAAAAAACGCCATCCTACGATCATTTCCCGGCGACACTCAAGGCGGTGCCGCCGCTTCACCAGACGGTCCCTTCGCCTTCGACGATGAAGTCTCTCACCACAAAGAAGAAAGAGCTCTCGTGTTATCCAGAGAAATCGATGCTTTTGGCTATCTTGTTGGCTTTCGCTTGATTCCTGAGTCTGGTGAGTGGTGTGAACACGGTTTTTTTTTTCTCATTTTTCTTTCCTTATTTTTCCATTTTAAAATTCAAAGACACATGTTAAGTTATATTTCTGTGTTATTTTGTATTGAATTGAAAAAGTGGTGTACTGTTATTATGGTTTTGGAGGATGTTATGGTTTTTCAGTGCTGGAGAGTTTATTATGAGAGTGTGACATGCAGGGAATGTGAGTGAAGAAGCTTCTAGTAGCGATGAAGTTGAAGAACCTGTGGTTGAGGATATAGAAGAGGAGAAAGCTCAGACTAGAGTCTCCTACAACATTGTTTTTGTGACTGCTGAAGCTGCACCGTATTCGAAGACTGGTGGCCTTGCTGATGTTTGTGGCTCTTTGCCAATAGCACTGGCAGCTCGTGGACACCGTGTGATGGTTGTCTCGCCTAGATATATTCATGGTACTTCTGAGGATGATAAGTTATCTGATGCAGTTGATCTTGATCGGATCAAAGTGTATTGCTTTGGGGGTGCTCAAGAAGTTGGGTTTTTCCATGAATATAGGCAAGGTGTTGATTGGGTATGAAGTTTGATATACTTATATTTTAATTTTTAAATGCATTTGGTACTCTTTGGAGAAGTTAGTTTTTCACTGACCTTAGTGGCCCTGTGTGATCAATGTAATAGACATCAAACAAGGGTTTATTGTCTTGGTTTGCTAAAGACATTTGATTTCTTACCTAGTAGCATCTATTTTTGACGTGTATTTTCTATGTTGATGATACTCGGTGCACATCGTTGTTTCAGGTATTTGTGGATCACCCCTCTTACCATAGACCAGGGAATCCATATGGAGACAAGTATGGGACTTTTGGGGATAATCAGGTATATTCTTCTTAGTTCTAGCTTTGATGCTAGATTGGTGTTACACATTCATGAATAATGATGAAATTTCCTTCTCACTTGGTTTTACAGTTTCGGTTCACTTTACTTTGCCATGCAGCATGTGAAGCTCCACTGGTGCTATCATTGGGAGGGTTCAGTTATGGGGAAAATTGTTTATTCCTTGTTAATGATTGGCATGCCAGCCTAGTTCCGGTGTATGCATACCTACCTTTATCCTCCCTTTTTATCAACCCCCCTACACCTTTCTTTTCCTATGAAGATATTCAATCTCTGCTTTTCCCCCAACCATACTATATCTGTCCAAATTTTTCTTTAAAATAAAGCAAGTACATTTGCTTTAATAAATATTATCTTTCTTCCAATATCTCCCCTAAAGTGCTGCAATTTTCTATTTGTTTTAGAAACTTAGATTTTCCTTTGTTTTTTATTTCCTCATACTACCACTCCCATGAGAGTTGTAATACTTTATTCTATTCTAGTATAAACAAATCTCTTAGGGACAACTTTTCCCGTTGTGATTCTCAGCATCATAAAAAACCATAGTAAGGATGTTAAAAACTTCATTTCATCTTATGAAGACCAAAATTAATAATAGGCTATCCATAAATAGCTGTCAATGACGCTAAAAGTTTATCTTATGAAGACCTAAAATCAATAATGTGGATTTCACACTTTTACGTTTCATTTGAAGTTTCTTGTGATTTGTTTGAGTTGTATTATTGTCTTACTGAGGATAAGTACTGGTACTTTGATTGTTGTGCAGACTTTTGGCAGCAAAGTATCGTCCGCATGGGGTATATAAGGATGCTCGTAGTATATTAGTGATACATAATATAGCACATCAGGTAAGTTAATTCATTTTATTTTATTTTTTGGAGACATTACTAAGAGTGGCGGCAATAGTATCATGCTTTGATCTCTGCCTTCGGAAATGAGTTTTCAAGCATCAACAACAGAACTTAGACAGATTGATCCTGAAAGACCTAATAGATAAATACATTGTTAAAAAATAAAAATTATTACTTTTATCTTGAAGTTTATGCCGCCAACAGACAAGCACAATCCCATTTGGTCGGATTTATTTTGAAGTTGGTTAATACATAGAATGCAAATGTGTTGGTCATTGTCACATTGAAATGCATGATTTGAACATGATTATGGCTGTGTATTCATATCAAAGATGCTCATTTCTGTTAGTATGTTGTCTTGGAAAAATGTGTCTTTGATCTGTGATGCTACAAATATGGTGCATTACGCTTTTCTGTATATAATGTATATTAATATTAATTCAAGAAATATGGATTGTAAGGATTCTGGATGAAAGTGTGTGAGTAATAACCTACAGAAGTAGTTGTTATAAATTCTTAGATGGTGTATCGCACACCTTTAAGTGTAGTTCAATGAAGCTGATGAAATTATATGTTAGGGAGTGGAGCCTGCAATTACATATAGTAATTTGGGGCTGCCTCCAGAATGGCGGGGAGCACTGGAATGGGTGTTCCCTACGTGGGCAAGGATGCATGCTCTTGACACAGGTGAAGCTGTCAACTTTCTAAAAGGTGCCATTGTTACAGCTGACCGGATAGTAGCAGTAAGCAAGGTCAGAATACTGCATATCATATATTTTGCTTCCTTCTGTTTTATCAAGTAGTATTTCTATGTTGGTCGCTATTCTTCTGTTCCTTATATTGGCCACTCATTTTAAAATTTTTTTGATCGCCCAGAAGTTAAAACCTTACGTCACTATGATGTCATAACAAATTAACAATCTTGTATAAGACAAGCATCTTGTATTTATTGTGTAACAATATGCAATGCGTAAAGTTCTGCCTCCCTTTTCCAGGGCTATTCCTGGGAGATAACAACTACTGAAGGTGGACATGGTCTACATGAGTTATTAAGTAGTCGAAGAAGTATTCTCACTGGTATTTTTTTTTTCTTCTATCATACATTTTCAAACTCTTATACGATATGAAAGGCTTATTTATGGCTGAAGAATTTTGGAGTTGATAATGTGATGTATAACCTGAAGGAACTGTAATTCTTTGAGCAAGTTAAACACTACTTTGGGGCAAATAATTCTCTTCAGTGGAAATGTGTATTTCCAATAAAAGTTTCAGATTGTATTTTATAGATTTAAGGTGATGTTATTGGACTTTGACACCCATACAGTAGGTTGACTTGAATGTAAACTTGCAAAAACTAATGAGCAGCAGAGTGAATAACAAATTTTGCTAGTTACTCAGGGACCTTGTGATACTCTCAATTAATAGTCATTGTACATCTAAAGTTTTTTTTTACTCTGTTGTGAATCAAATCCTACTTGAAAGCACTCTTTCATGTTAACTGGTTTTGATGGCAAAGAACTGGGTGTCAGAAATTTGAGACACCAATGTGACAAGAAATCTTCTAATGAATTGATTAGAAGACTTTCATATCTGAATATCGACTTGCAAGATTTTTTCTTCATAAAAAATGCATAGAAGCCTATACAACCTTCAATTGCTGCTATATTGCACCTCAGTGTTGCTTAATTGTTAATTGCTATATGGTGTTCATGTGGAGTGCTAATATTAACAGATCTTATTTTCTGCTCACAAAAATTTATGTGATGCTTTGGTCATTTGTTTAAGGATCATTAAAGCATAAAAAAGATAGAACTAGTTATTCTCTCTCTCTTTTTATTTTATTTTAAGTTGAGGGATGTTAGCTACTGGAGTTGAATACTACCAAAAGGAAAAGGTCACAGTTAGAAGGGCTCTATTAATTTCCATTTTGTTTTTTCATCAAGCTGTTTTATTCAAATAATTTTTTGCAACTCATTTATGTAATGCACTTGTGAAAAAATGCTAATGCTACTTTGGACTTGTAAAAGTTGTGTATTTGTTTTGAAATCTTGATTCGTGTCATATAGTTTGCTGTAATGATATTGGTTTGTATTTCAATAGAAAATTGTTGAACCCCCTATAGTTTGTTTTCAAAATAGCAGCCCTATTTGATTTCATAAATTTAGTAGCAAAGGAATGCTTTTGTCATTATTTTTTTTCCCTCACGATCGTGTCTAATGCTTTGACTTGTACAAGTAGTTGTGAGTCAATATATGGGAATTAGAAACCAAAACAAGAAAATATGTTGTTAATTATTTTCTGAATGATGTGCCTTGATCCTCAATCTTGTAATAGTTTTATTTTTGACTAGGAATCACAAATGGAATTGATGTCACTGAATGGGATCCATCATCCGATGAACATATTGCTTGCAACTATTCCGCTGATGACCTTTCGGGGAAGGTTGCTTCAGTCTTCTGTCTATCATCCCTCTTCTTTCTTTAGCTGAACTTGGCTTACCTTAAATATCTGTAATGTACAGGCCAAATGCAAAATTTCCTTGCAGAAGGAATTGGGTCTTCCAGTGAGGCCTGATTGTCCATTGGTTAGTTTGTTATTTGTACGGTAATAATCTTACTCACTCTTACCGGTATTGACTATTGCTGAAATTTGTAGATTGGATTCATTGGAAGACTAGACTACCAGAAAGGTATTGACCTGATTCGCTTGGCAATTCCAGAACTCATTGAAGATGATGTTCAGTTTGTAAGTGATTTTGTAAATCAATTCTATAAAAACAACACATGCTGTGCCAAATAATTAAATCCATGGTTTGGTGGTATGTAAATGTAGGCTATGTTTACTGGTAGGATGTAAAATATATCTTCAGATATTGCAGAATATAGGTGCTAAATACCATTTTAAACATCTTGATACTTACCATAAAAAAATTCCATTTGGTAGATCATTTTTTAAAATGCAACCTCGCTCCTTTTGTGAATAATTTCATTTGAGAGTATTTGAGGCCCCTTGAATTCTAATTGACAGATTTAAGTATAACTTCTGAGAAATATGTTTTATATTTGTGGCCCTCCTAAATGGTTGGGACTTTCTAGTTATTTTTCTTTTCTTTTTTTTTATCAGGTAATGCTTGGTTCAGGAAACCCTATTTATGAAGATTGGATGAGAGAAACAGAGTCAGCGTATAGAAATAAATTTCGGGGTTGGGTGGGATTTAATGTTCCAATATCTCATAAAATAACTGCAGGGTAACAAAACTTTACTTTGTCAGTGCATTCCGATTAATTTCATCTTTTCTAAGAAATTGTTGGGTCATTCAAAATTTTCTTACTGTATGTGCACCTTCTTACCGTATTTCTGGTATGATCAGCTGTGATATACTGTTAATGCCATCTGCATTCGAGCCCTGTGGACTGAATCAGTTGTATGCAATGAGATATGGAACTATACCTGTGGTTCATGAAACTGGGGGACTAAGAGTAAGTCAAGAAAATGTAAGCAGTTGACTAATTCAATATGATTTCTTTGCCTTGATGACTTTCTCTTTAATTCTTTACAGGATACTGTTCAAAATTTTAATCCATTTGCTGAAGAAGGAGATGGTGAAGGCACTGGGTATGTTGCCCACGGCTTGGATTTTTTTCCTTCAATTATCCAATTGCCATTTTTCCTTTATTATCTTACAGTTTGTCGGTCCAAGTAAAACTAACATAATATGGGGTGATAAAAATATGGAACGTATAATATGCATGGCTGGCTCTTATATTTAAATTTGTTGCTATAATGCTGTGAATTTGTCTAAGTACGTAAATATAATTCAGCAATCAGATAAACTCCCATAATTGTGTACAAGCCTGGATAAAAGGTGATGGCTTGTAACCATGCCAATTATAAATATACATTGTAAGCGCAGATTAGGTGGTCACAACTCACAACTGACTTGAGTTGTGAAAAAATAGATATCGAAGTTAACAAGAAAGGGGCCATTTATTTATACTTGACTAATGGTTAGCTTTCTAAATCTATTGATTCATGCGATAGCCCCAAAATTTCACTAATACAATATGAATATGCTTATTAAATTGTTTGACATTGTTTTGAACTTCACTCACAGGTGGACATTTTCTCCCCTGACGAAGGATAGCATGTTAACGGTAAGCTTGATGTTCTTTTCATAAATTTCATTGTTTTCATATATAAGCATACCCTGGCAGCATCTTAATATTTCAATCTAGAAAGTTCTGTTGTTTGTCTTTTGCAAATTGACCGGAGTTTTCTCATCTATTCCTTGTTGATTATCAAAAGGTTACAATATAAGTTTGTAGTTGTGAACTTGTGCGCGCTCTCCTTGTCTTCCTTTCTCCTTTTTGTGTATGGGGGAAGGAGACCATCTCTGGATAGAAAGCAAGCTATAGGCTAATATGGATAAGCATAATTTTATCAAAACCAATATATTCTTGTCTGAGTTCATTGGGGTGCTGTCCTTGGTCTATTGACACTGACGGCACGTTTGGTGGTTTACCATTGCTATTTCTAATTGCTATCTTTGGGATGGCTTCTGGAATCTTGTTACCGGCCTTTAGGTGTTAAAAACACCCATATCAAGTTACTAAAACATTGAGGAGTCTGTACCAATCTATTCCATGCAGTCTATGGTGGATTGACATGTTAGAATGTGGGAAGTATTGGCTAACTTTGCTCATTTTATGATATTTCCCACCACAACGTTTCTCTCTCTCTCTCTCTCTTGTCCTTTTTGGCTGTTGTCGTGATCGTGGACTTAAATTTCATTTATTTTGACAGGCTCTAAGATATGCCATTCAAACGTATAATGAATACAAGTCTTCTTGGGAGGGATTGATGATAAGAGGTATGACGAGAGACTACACATGGGTAAATGCTGCCACTCAATACGAGCAAATTATTGAGTGGGCATTCCTCGACCCTCCCTATTGCTGAAAGCTGAGATAAAGCATTAATGATCAGATCAAAAATTTCTTCAAAAATCCAGGCTACTCAAGAGGATTATCGTGTTCATAATTATGGATTAGGGATAACATGAAGGAGGCCCTTTTTTCTTTGCTCATTTTGAGTCTCCACCAGCTTCTTGTAATTTTATTATCAAACAGTTTTTCCTACCTTTTATTGAGGGATGCACATATCTCACCCGTCTTGGGCTTTACTCTTTGATGATATGATAGGTACATATACTCAGCTAGGCAGTCCAGGTGGAATTTTTTCCACTGATTGAAACTCCACTTTGTTTGTAACTATGCTAGTATCTGATGCTGTTAGAACTTTTTTAACCATTAAAGGGGTAAAAGGGATAATCAATTGGGATGCACAGTTATTGCTTTTGTACTCTAGACCGGTCATGTGCTACATTGAATTTGCACCATGTGAGAATGTGCGTCCATTAACATTGGTTAAAAGTGAAAATTGATGAAAGCTGTGTTATTGCTGATGACGAAGACAATTTGCAAGATAAGTCAATCTTTGGCTTGTGCATTTCTTTGATATCCGCCACCACTTATGACAATTGGTTAGGCAACTCCCTGGGGGCCTGCAACCTAGTCATCGTTGTCCAACTTTTTGTGTAGCCAGCGCGTGGGTTTTATTTTAAAATGCTTTATTTTATTATAAATAATTATAAAGTGTTTTTTTTTATAAAAAATTATATATAGATAAATAATTAATGTGAATGCTATTTTTATTATAAGTTTAAAGAACTTGTAATAAATAATTTATCTATAATTTATATTTTTATTATTTTATATTATTGGATTTCTTCTGCACTGTGCATATATTATTATATTAAAATATGGTTATATTGTATGTTCTTTCAATTTAATAAATTTACAAACTTCAAAATAATTTATACTTTTATTATAATAAATAGGACTAAGTTAATGAGATAAGGTTTTTAAAATTAAGAAAAAGTTAAATTTCAAATCAAAAGTGATTTTTTAAAAAATATTCAATGTGAAAGAAATCATGTGGTGCAAGTAAGAGGATAATAGTTCTAAATTTAAAACAATTTCACTTATATAATTATGTATATAATCTTTTCTACATAATTTGTGAGTCTGAATTCTTAAACAATAAATATTATGTTATATAAAAAAATTACTAAAGAGATAAATTTAAAATTAAAAAACCTAAAAAGTAAGATTTAATTTAAAATTAAATCTAATGTAAGTTTAATAAGCTTCTAAAATAAAATCAGATCTTTTATTTCCATTAAACATCGTTAAATTTACTTCTCATCCTTTCTAAAATCCAACTTTGAAACATATTAATTAAATATAATAATTAAATGAGAAAAATAACTATTAAGAAATAAATATTATAAAAGCATAAAAAATTAGCCTTTACCTTCAACACAACTCAATAAGCTGTGTCATACTTACGCAGCACTTTTAGGAGCTGTCCCTCCATGACGATGATCCTAGTTAACATTTTTACGACGTTACAGGTGTAACTGTTAGGTTATAATATCCATCATCCATGTCATCTGCACATTTTCTTAAGTTCATTACTCAAGTCCACCATCAAAGGTGGATCTCCTCGACCATACCAATACCTGCAGCCATGTACTCATGTCTTCACCATTGTTACACTCCTATTAAAATTCCAGTCCATCTTCACCTCAATTGAAAATTTAACTATTACACATGCATATGTGAAGTGTTTTCTATTACTTGCTCTCTTAAACAACAAATTTACTAACCTCTATATAAAATTTATATAAAGAAAATATTCCTTTAACTCAACTATGCTTATAACTTCTTATTCTTGTTTTTGACTAATACTTGAGAACAAACATTGTACACCATAATAACCAACATTAGAGTTGGGCAAAAAAATTAAGTACAAGTTCTGATTGTTTCATGAATTAATATATCTTCTACATAAAAATAATTTAATCAATAATTAAAGTTCTCACAAAAACAAGTTGATTTTTATAATTTTTAAAATTAATGTTAATTATCAAACTTTAAAAAAATCAAAATTTGTCAAAGCGACACGTGATTCGGTATGACCAAACTAATAAAATAACTAACAGAATTGATACACAAAAGTGGAATAAGTTTTGTCGTTATAATTGTTTTATCTCTTCGCATAACACCTTTTTTAAAATGTATTTTAATATACAATGAAAAAAATTATTTTTAATATGTTATAAAAAATAATTTACACTAAAAACCATCATAAATATGAATTTTAAATTATTAACAAATCAATAATTTTTTTATAAGATAATTCATGATTAAATGATAATATAAATTTCTGTATATTGTCATCTAGATGAAATTAATAAAAAACAAATAATACCTTTTTATTCTTAAATAAGATTAAAAAGTAATTTATATAATAATAATAATTTAAAAATTGACAATTTAAAAAAGTGTGTGTGTATATATATATATAATATTATTGACAATAGATTTTTCTCTCCACTCAATAACTCAATTCAATCGTGATTATTGATTGATTCACATAAAACCAAACGAAGAGAAGGCAAAGTGATGGAAACGAAGAGAGGAAGGAGAAGTTGGTAATTTAGAAGAAACGAAAGGGACAGTTGGCTATGGTTGGGCACTCTGCGCAGCCAATCGAATCGAATCGAATCGCTATTCTCTTTTCTTCTCTTCATTCCCTCATCTCATTTGATGAAATCGAAAAGCAAAACCCTAATGAAGAAAATGATGACGTGCAATTGAAATTCAAGTCCCTCATCCAGTGAATTCAATTGCTTTCTGCAATGATTTCAAATCCAGAGTTGATCCACTACGTCTGCATTGCGAGATCGAACACCATAATTGCCCAACACATGAACGAACAACACCCCAACATGGAAGCATTGGCATCTGAATGCGTCGCACAAACCCCTCCCAATCACTCACTCTTCTCCCACACCGTCAGCAACCACACCTACACCTTCCTCATAGACCCTCCCTTCGTTTTCTTCGCCATATTCGATCACCATCTCCTCAAATCCCAAACCCTCCCTTTCCTCAACCGAATCCGATCCTCCTTCCGCCAAACCCTATCCTCTTCCCAACACCACTTCGCTCCTCTCTCCTTTCAGCCCCAATTTCATTCCATCTTCAACGATGCTCTTCAGAATCACAACAACACCGTCCCTCCCAAGACTCAGCCTCTTCTTCCCCAACCCCAATGCTTGAAGAAGAAGAAGCGGCTTATGGAACCCAATGATTCCAAGGATGCGGCAATGCTCGACGTCTCTGAAGACGCCGTTTCCTTCCCTAACTCCAAGCCCCTCCCTCTCGATCGCCAGAAGGCAAAACACGTCTGGAAGAAACATGTGTGGGTCGTTCTCCTCCTTGATTTGTTCGTCTGCGCCGTTTTGTTCGTTATTTGGTTATGGGTTTGCAGCGGATTCAAGTGCATCGCTTATTGATATCAAATTTCATTTCAACACTCGAAATTTTTCAATCTTAAAAAAATGTTTTTTTTTTTTTTGGGGGTTTGGTTTTTGTCCCTTCTCTTTCTGGAGGGATTCTTAGCCGCTTGAGAAGCATGGAAAGTGCAGAGGCAGAGGATACCTCCTCTTCTGTACATGTGATTGGGGGTTTCGGTTTGCTTCTTCATCACCTCTTTTGTTTTTTCTTTTCTTTTTTCAATTCCTTTTTCTTAATGGGAATTGCATATGAAGATCTTGTTAAGTTATTATGTGGTCTGGGGTGAGATTTCCTCAATTGTTCAAAATTACAGATTCCACATGTTGACTGTGATATACTCTCTTTCCACTTTCCACTTTCCACTTTCCACTTGCCAATTGCCAAGCATTGTTATTATTATTACTGTAAACTTGATTTATAATTTATGACGCTGGGTGTTTCTTCTTTAGTACACGGTTATGTTAACTGGGGTATATGTTCTGTTCTTGAATATGTGTTTGATGTATTGATAAAAATGATGAGCATGTGGAGGGTGGACGTGTGTCTTGTGTAGTGTTGAGTTGGTGTTCTTGAAGAATTGAATCCGTTCTCGTTCTCTATCAGACGAAAGTAATCTCCCACCAGTTTAGGAATCTATCCTTTTCAGTTGTCACACGGTTAATTTTTCTGCTTGATGATGTGAAGGAAAGATGAGGTGTTTTTCGAATGAGGGAATTGCAAGTGTTGGGGGTGCATAGTTGTATGATTTCTGAGAAGGGTGGGTTACATGTTACGATTTATATAGCTTGTTTCAATTCAAGTTTAACCAGATGTGTTTTTACTTCAACGCAACTAATTATAGTCTTTACGTCAGATTCACGTTTACTACTTTTTAAGTGTGTTAAAATACACCTCTTAATAAAATTTTGTTCTTAAGAGTTCTTTAACTTCGAATTTTGATTGATTTGGTGCTGGCATGTTGATGTGGGGAACTATGAATAATCCATTTTATGCAGTGTTTAACGTTGGTCCAGCAGGGTCGACAAACTAGTTCAGTTTCAGGCAGCCAGCACATGGGCACCCAACACGTTGCAGCCGTACCATCCTAACTTTGTAGACAGATAAGATTAGATCAGATTTATGCTAAATTCAAGAATTTTTTTTAATATTTCTAAAATTTAACAAAATAAAAAATCGATAATAATAAATTTTAGGGTGAATCAAGTTTTTCTCTTATCTCTCATACAGGTTATTTTTGTATAATTCTTTATAAATATTAATTTTTATTAATTTAATTGTTAAACTAATTTTTTTAAAAATTAAATACGTCTACAAAAATTATATATCAAAAATAAATTTTTTACTGTATATATATTATATGTAATTTTTTTATCGTGTAAAATTTTGTAAAAAATAAATAAATCGGTTAAAATTATGATAATAAGTGGCAGAGAGTATTATTAAGGAATAAAACGTATGTATTTCTTTTACATAATTTTTAAAGTTTTATTATTTATTAATTTTTGAATTAATATTTTTAGGTACAGAATAGCAATGCTCTAAATTAAATTCCTAATTGACATTTCTTTATTTAAATAAAAAAACTGCAATCATTGTGCCAAGTTGGCACTCTGGCTTCGGATCTAAGGAATATAAAACATTAGAAATATTACGAGATGCGACATAATAAAGTTTGAAATATCTTATCAACCTTTCCAACAATAGTGTCACTGGTGTATAATGCTCCTTTCATTGAATGGTTGTCAATAGCTGGTTACATTTGACATTAATGTATGGTATGTGTCCAATTCTACATTTTTTCTTTCATCAATTATCTATTAGTTATGATACTTAATTATGGGAATTTGAACTTAATTACATGAATTTGAACACTTGATAGCTTTTAAAAAAATTTATTTTGTGTGTGTGTGAAGCAGTAGTATCATTTCTTCCATAATAAGATTAAAAAAACTAAAATAAATGTAGTTTCTTACAACAAAACTCTGATAGCTCTAATATTATTCACATTTACATAATTTTATCATCTAACTATAATTAATCACCCATCATTTGATGTATTTATTTCAACTGGATTCAGCTTACTTCACTGTGTGTTGTGTGAGAGACATAGGAGGAAAACAAAATCAACATAGTTAGTATTTTCTTTCTTATGTAATTGATACGTCCAGGGTTTAGTCTTTGTGGTTTTTTAACTATAATTTTTCAAAAAAATGTATTAATATAAATTTATTTAAAATTAATTATTAAAATAAGTGAATTTAACTAAATTTGTTTAAAATAAATTGATAGTGCAACTTAATTAGTATTAGGATTTTAAATTTTAGTTTTCTTCCTACTTTAACTAAATTTCAATCAACAAATAGAAAAAAAAATTTACTTCAATTTTGAATCTTTGTTAAAATAAAGAAAAGTTTAAATTTTAAATTCAAACTTAAACAAATACAAGAGATAAACTAAAATCCAAATTAAATTTTAAAATTTGGACAAAGTTGAAAGAAAATTAAAAAAAAATTAATGTCAAATCTCAACCCTTGAAAGCATAGATCATAATGGGCGATACGTCAATTTTTAATGTGTAAAGAAAACAAAAATACACTAAAAAACCTTAGAGTGCAGATGTTATGTCATGTTGTTGTTAGTTTTTGTTGCTCTTATTTACAAGATCATTTTTTTATAGATTAACAATTTTTTTAACAAATGTCAGCATACATTTTTTTTGGGGTATACATGTAGGGGTTTAGGTCCCACTAAACTAGGCTTCTACGAAGAAACGAGACACGAACACAATCATCGTATACATTCCAAGGAGGTTGCTCCCAAATTTGGAGTCTCTAAATGTTGTAAGTGAGAGCAATTTGCTACCCAATTTCTATCTCTGACAGTGTGAGAAATTTGAACAATCCAATCCCTCCTCTTAATCTTTGAATACCAGAGATGATTATTGATACACAAAGGTGTGGGTTTATATTTCCTTTCAAGATCAATTTCATAGCTGTAGATGAATCACTTAATACATTTTCAAACACACTATTTTATTGTTGGACAAAAATTGTGTGAAATTTACTTCTTGTTTAACAAGTTATACTTATGAGTGCATTGTTAACATTAAAAAGCACACTATTTTAATGATTGGGAATCAATGTATTAGAAAGATAATGATTTAATGAATGTATTGTTAACATTACATATATATATATAGAGATTACTTCGTTTAATTTCTCTGCAAAAGTAGATTTTCCATCAAACTTGTCTTTTGACTCTTTAGAATATACATATTTATCTTAAATTGATAATCTTTTTTACGGTTCTTGAAAGATGAGAAGTATTTAATATCTATTTTTGAAAGAAACCACATCATAATTTTTATCACTGTACAAAGAGAAAAAAAATCATAACAGAGGTGAGAGCTAACGAGTTTTTTAATCTTTTTCAAGAGTAAAAAAATCTCTATTCTATAATTTCACTAAACTTGTATTATGTATCATTTCTATTAGATGAGATTGAAATAAACTCTTACTCGTATTAAGAAAGGTTTTATAATCGTACTTTGTTTTAGAGTTTTTATTTATTTGGATCTTAGGATTCTATGATTTTTTTCGTTTTACATTGAGGAAAAATTTCACATTAAAATTTGTAGTGTCATTTCTTTATTTATTTATTAATCGTTCATCTCAAATCGCATAGAGAGAAAATTAATGGAATTTCTCAATAATATCATCAAAGCAACTTAAAAAATTTGAGTGAGCTATTATTATTATTATTAACAAATAACGAGAGCTCTTAAATTGAAAGCTAGTAGCTATGATTCCAAACTTCATTAAATGAAGTTTTGTTTAAGCATGCATGAACGTACACTAATACACAAAGTTTTATTATAGATTAAACTCCTACTTTAGTTTTCGAGAGAGTTTGAGTCCAACATTTTAGTTTGAGATATTTAAAATATAATGTTAGTTCACAACTTCCTTCTCCGTCATTCATTTTAGTCTCTGAGCTCAGACTCTGTTAAGAAACTGTGATAGAAGACTGAGTTGTCACATTAAATGTCATCTCAGACATCCAGTTGGCAAAAAAGATGTCATTTTAGGAAGCTAGTGCGGCACCTATTGTCAAACGACATTATTTTAATTGAAGCTCTTAGGTTTCTTTCTTTCTTCGTATCTTGCTTTCATGGTTAGGTTTCTTCCTTCCTTACAAGATCTGGGTTTCGTAACAATTGGGAGTAGAATTACCCAATTGAAACCTCACTCACTCTCTATGAACTTTTATTCATCAATCCTGTAAATATACATAAGGGTGTTTATTTATATCCGCTTGATTCCTACATAATCTGAGTTTCCCTCCAATTATAGCTAACTTCTATTTTAAGCAACCTATCTATTAACTTTTGACTAACTATTGTATTTAAAATAGAAAGGAAACTAACTTGCTAATCAAACTTCTAATTTTACTTATTACAATTTTTCCCCTCTTCAAAAATAGGACTTTTCCTCAAGGCCAAGTAGCCCTTCAATCGAAATCTGGAAATTGTTGTTGCATACTGTGTAATTTTCTCCAAACTGCATCTTTTGGGTTAGTATGTTGCCATTGAATTAGCACCTCAGTGACAGCTCTATTACCCTTTTTCTTCATACGTCCATCCAGAACCACTAGTGGTTGAGGTACAAATTCACCCTTATCATTGAACAGTGGCAAGTCATGTGACGCTGACTGAGGGCCATGATGTGTTTTTAATTGTGAAACATGAAATACATCGTGTATTTTTGTTCTAGCTGGTAGCTCAAATTTGTATGCTACTTTGCCCACTCTCTCTAATACCTTAAAAGGACCATAGTACCTTACAACTAGCTTGTGAAATGTCAAATTTTCCAAACTCAATTGCCTGTAAGGTTGTATCTTCATGTAAGGTTGTATTTTCAAGTAAACTAAGTCTCCAAAGTTAAATTCTTTGTCTACCTTTTAAGATCAACATACTTCTTCATCCTCTCCTGAACCTTGGTTAAGTTATCCTACAAGAGCTTTGCTATCTGTTGTCTTGTTCTCACAGTAGAGGCTACTGCTTCTACTAGTGATTCCCCTTGTATTGTAACATTTGGCCTAGGTGGAGGGTAGCCATATAAGGCTCCAAATGGTGTCATCTTGATGGTTGTATGGAACTTAGTGTTATACCATAATTCTGCTAAAGCTAGATGTTCTGTCCATTTCTTAGGTAATTCACCAGTAACACATCTCAAGTAACTTTTTAAAGCCTTGTTTAATGCCTCAGTTTATGCATTGGTTTGAGGGTAGAAAGCTGTGAATTTCAACAATTTAACCTCATGCTGCTGCATCAATTCAGACCAAAAGGCACTCATAAAGATGTTATCTTTATCAGAAATTATCTCAAATGGCCAACCATGTAATTTTACAACAGTGTCCTGAAATACTTGTCCTACTTTA